GGATGGCAAGGTGAAACCTGCCCAGCCACCCCTACATTCGGTTGTGCAGGTAAGAAATGGGGGCAGAGGAACAACTCTTTGAAGGTGCAGTGACACTGCAGGTCTGTGGGACCTCTGTACCATGCAGAGCAGCACTGATGGGAAGCCTGAGGAGTGTTGTTCTGGTTGGAATTCTTGCATCCTGTTGTTCTTTCATTGCCATCGACTGTCACGTGCACAGGTGGTCAGGCAATGTGGGGCTGTGGTTTTCCTCTCCCCAGGTGGATCCATGCTGGCAGGGGGGCTGTAAATGCCTGTGGGTTGAAGGTGCCACCCAAACACACCATGCTCGGTGCAGACAGTTCTAGCCCACTGACCTATATCTGCCTGATTCTCTTCTCCTCCCTCTCCCAGCCCGGAGGAGAAGCTGTGGGATGTGGCAGACAGTCTGCCAGCTCTCTCTGTGCTGCAGTTAGCTCATCACATTGCACAAACCCTTCCCTGAACCCTCCCAGCTCATCTCCTCTCTGCTCTCCTCCTGCAGCAGCTGCACGGCAAGAACGTGCAGTTCAGCGATGGGTACGTGGTGAAGGAGGCGATCGGCGTCGGCTCCTACTCCGTCTGCAAACGTTGCATCCATAAAGCTACCAACATGGAGTATGCAGTCAAGGTCTGAGTGTCTGCAAACGTTGCATCCATAAAGCCACGAACATGGAGTATGCAGTCAAGGTCTGAGATTCACCCTCTGAACTGAGCTCTTAGATTTCTGCCCAGAGAAGCTGTGGCTGCCCCATCTCTGGAAGTGTTCCAGGCCAGGTTGGAAGGGGCTTGGAGCAACTTGGGCTAGTGGAAGGTGTCCCTGCCCATGGCAGGAAGTTGGACTGGATGATCTTTAAGGTGCCTTCCAACCCAAACCAGTCTAGAATTGTACTTCTGCTCACCCCCAAAGTAACACCCATGAGTGAAATCACTTTCCCTGTCTGCATAGGGTCTGAATGGACATTTTCTGTGCTGCTGTGCATGAACCTGCACAAGCTCTGCTCTAGGAAGAGCAGGGAAGCAGCTTTCTCCTCTCCCAGAGGGAGGAGAGCATCTCACTTTTCTTTGCAAAGCTCTTAGCAAATCCAACAGACATAAAACTTTGGGGGTTGGGGACACAGAACTGATGAAGCAACTAGAGGATTTCTAGAGCTAAAGAAAGCAGGGCACAGGGAGGAGATATGGCACAGGAGCTCTGCAGGGCTCCAAACTCAGCTCATGTGCTTTGTCCTGGCCCCTTTCCCACCCCGTGGTGGCTAATGCATATCTCTACTCTTGCAGGTGATTGACAAGAGCAAGAGAGACCCTTCAGAGGAAATAGAAATCCTGCTGCGATATGGGCAGCACCCAAACATCATCACCTTGAAAGATGTGAGTGGGACTCAAAGGATTCACTGTGTTTTGGTTTAGGAAGTGCAGGCTGGGGGTGGAGGGCAGAGTGCAGCTCCAGCATGGGCAGCCCAACAGCCCTGCTTGATTTATGACTCTGGAGTGGGGAGGCATCCCCAGAGCCACCTCTGCTGATCTCTGTCTGCTCCTTGGTGGCTTTGGCTAATCCCCTCCATGTCTGCTTTGGAAGGTGTACGATGATGGGAAGTACGTGTACCTGGTGACGGAGCTGATGAGAGGAGGGGAGCTGCTGGATAAAATCCTCAGGCAAAAATTTTTCTCTGAGAGGGAAGCCAGTTCAGTCCTGCACATGATCTGTAAAACAGTGGAGTATCTGCATTCCCAAGGGGTGAGTATGGTCACGGCTGTTTTCCTGGGGATCTCTCTGGCATTATACTATGCTCCCTCTCCTCTGGGGAGTAACTCTGCCTGTTGGGACTGTTTCTTGCTGGTGTGAGAATGGCCCTTTCTTTGCTCCACAGGTGGTTCACAGGGACCTGAAGCCCAGCAACATTCTCTACGTGGATAAGTCAGGAAACCCCGAGAGCATTCGCATTTGTGACTTTGGCTTTGCCAAGCAGCTGAGGGCAGACAATGGGCTTCTCATGACTCCCTGTTATACAGCAAACTTCGTGGCACCCGAGGTAAGCACTGACCTGAGACCCTCTGGTAGCTCCCTCATCCCTTCCTTGGGCTGTGCTGCCACTTGGCACAGTGGGTCTGCCCCATCCCTAGCTCCAGCCTGCCCTGGAAGAGGTAACTACAGAAATACCACTTGTAGTAATGAGGAAATGGAATCATAGAATCAACCTGGTTGGAAAAGACCTCCATGATCACCAAGTCCAACCCTACCGTGGTCACTAGACCATGGCACTAAGTGCCACATCCAGTCTCATCTTGAAAAACTCCAGAGATGGTGAATCCACCACCTCCCCGGGCAGCACATTCCAATGCCTGATCACTCTCTCCATAAAAAATCTCTTCCTAATATCCAACCTAACCCTCCCCTGGCAGAGCTTGAGTCTGTGCCCTCTTGTCCTGCTGCTGGTTGCCTGGGAGAAGAGACCAACCCCCACCTGACTCCAACCTCCTGTCAGGGAGTTGCAGAGGGTGCTAAGGTCTCCCCTGAGCCTCCTCTTCTCCAGGCTGAACACCCCCAGCTTCTTCCAACCTTGACATGGGTCAAGCCACTCTACTGAAATGAGCTCCACAAGAAGAACCTAACACACTTTTTTCCCTTTGCTTGTTCTGCTCAGGTGCTAAAACGCCAAGGCTATGATGAGGGCTGTGACATCTGGAGCCTGGGGGTTCTCCTGTACACGATGCTGGCAGGGTAAGGCTGGAGCCCCTTGCTCTGCAGTGTGCTCTGTGATGGGAGCTGGAGCTCTCCTCCAGCAGAGCTCCCTGCCTGGGGCACAGGACAAACCCAGTGCTCTCTCCTCTCTCCCCAGCTGCACTCCATTCGCAAATGGTCCCAGTGACACTCCAGAAGAGATCCTGACCCGGATAGGTGGGGGGAAGTTCTCCATCAGTGGAGGCAATTGGGACACTATTTCTGATATGGCCAAGGTATGGTTTGATGTCCGTGTTTCATTCAAGGGCTGGGGCCAAGCACAGCCAGTTGCTGTGAGGCAAATTTAGAGCAGACTGGGGAGGGACCACATGAGAGAGAAGAAAACCAGCAGTGTAGCTTCTCCCCTGTGCCTGTCTCCCCCACAGTAGCTTTGTTTTAACTCTGGCTGTGAATATTTGCATTGAACACCAACCTCGTGCTGGACCCACGTGGGGTTTGCTGCTGTGTTATACCTCCCAGACCTGCCAAAAACCTATTTTATACAGAAAGAGGTTGATGTTTAGGGACTTTAAACTTGGCCTCCGAATTTAAATCCTAATCTGGGAGCAGAAAGTGGTATTTAGAGTCTGAAATCTTCTGAAGTCTTGACTTTCCCAATGATGCCCTTAGGATTTGGTATCAAAGATGCTCCACGTAGATCCTCACCAGCGTCTCACAGCCAAGCAGGTCCTGCAGCATCCATGGATAACCCAGAAGGACAGCTTACCCCAGAGCCAGCTCAATCACCAGGACATTCAGCTTGTAAAGGTACAAAGTCTGGGCTGGGCCTTCAGCTGGTTCCTCATGGACCTTGGGGAAGCTGTGATCCAGGTGGGATGGTGGTGGGGTGGGAAAGCAGGAGGGCAGGTTGGAGAGCTGCAAGCCAGGGGAGGCAATACAGACAAGATGGGGGTTTTGGGAAAAAAATAAAAGGAGGTTCTTTAATGACATGTCTGTGTGGGAGGGAGATTTAGAGAAAAAAGATGCTTCTGGCTTTGTTGGTGGGTCTGACTGCTCTGATCCCTTGTCTTATAAAGCCACAAGTCCAAAATACCTTTTCCACCCCTATATGACTTTACACCTGAAGGATTTCTCTCGTGCCTTCTCTCCAAGGGTGCAATGGCTGCCACATACTCTGCACTGAACAGCTCCAAGCCAAGCCCCCAGCTGAAGCCCATTGAATCCTCCATCCTGGCACAGAGAAGGGTGAAGAAACTTCCCTCCACCACGCTGTGAAGCCGAGTTAGGCTGCAGGCACACACCAGATTTTGCACACCGATGGAAGATGGGGCCAGGGGCCAGGGCAGTCACTGTCTGCACAGGAGCTCCCTTGGAGACTTGCTCTGAAAAGGCCAAGTGCCTTCCTGCTCCTGAAAGACTGGCTCCTCCTCGTGTGGACTGATCTTTGCTGAGAGAACTTCACTGTAAAACTTTTTTGAAGTGTAAATTGTCGATTTTTAAAGACATCCATCTGTGTATATGAGAACTAGAATGTATAACTGATGTCAAGTGGCACTAAAAAGCAGCTCTGATTCACCCTTCCCTATGTAGGGCCAGGTATTTGTTGTTGCTACAGCATTTCTTGGAGTTGATCCTCTCTGACGCCGTTACAGCTGGAAGACTGTGTCACATTTGGGGTCTAGGCTTTGGGGTTTTTCCTCCCTTGAACCTCTGGATGTCCTTCCCAAAGCCAACCCTGCAGCCTCCCAGCCAGCAGTGCTCATGTCTGTAAAGGTCTTCCCTCCCCTTCACTTTTTGTGCATGTGTCCTGTGTGAGGTTGATTTTTCAGCCTCCATTTCTCCCTCTGTCCCCCAGCTCAGCAGTTCAGTTCTCTGAACAAAACCAACCATGAGTTTTCCAAACCCTCCCAGCTGTGCTAGGTTTGGCTCATTCCTTCCCTCTGCCCTCCCACCTTCATGTTCTCCCATCACTCCCCTGTGAGTTTGTCACCTGTGCAGGTAAGGATGACAACAGAACCTTCTCCTGGGCAAAGCCAAGGCTTTGGGCTGCCTCTGGCTGCTGCTTTTACCACTTTGAGTTTTCCTTCCCTTCAGCAGAAAAAAATTGTTTTTTTAATTTAACTTTGTCCTACAGCTGGTAACTCAGGGTTTCTTTCTGACTCGTACAATAAACGTGTCATTCAGGTGACATCATGTTACTGACTGACTTTTAGCTGCAGAATCAGCGACTCCAGTCGTGTCCCCACGTTGTGCAGAGACAGTGCTCCTCGCTTGCCTTTTGGGAGAGCTGCAAAGCTTTTCACCTGGCTCCACGGTGGGAAAACCAGCAGTGCTGCAGTAGGGCTGCATCTCATGCCACCTTCTCTCAGGTGTAACACCTCACTCCGCAGTGGGAAGTGATTAGAATCATCATGGAACGAGGCAGTAATCAGCAGAAATGGTGGCAGGATGCAGAGGGCAATTTCTTACTCTCAGGACATTTTAGTGCTGATAGAAACCAACACCTAGAAGCAAACTGTGCTAGAGAGAAATTCCTGCCCCATTCTGGCTGGCAGGGAGTTGCTGGAGCTCTGTGGTTCCGTGGTGGCAGTTCCTCAGGAGGAGCAGGAAGGGCTGCAAACACTCACAAGCTCAAGGATGTGCCTGAAGCCAGCAAAGGTTCTCATGTGAATTTCTGCTCCTTTTAGCTGATCATATCATGAGAGAGGAAAGTTTCTTTTTTTGCTTAGTCCCAGTCGGCTCTGAAATGGAGAAGTCCATAAAAAGACTTAGCTGAGACGTACAGCTCTCGCCTCTACCCTCATCCAAGCAGGTCCTGTTCTAATCCCTGGAGCAGCTGAAATAGTCACTATTTTTTCTTTCTTTATTCCAAGTATAGCCTGAGTGTCCAGGGCTGCTGAGAGGAGGAGGCCACAGCAGTGTACACTGGATTTTCTTACTGATATTGCCACTGACCCCAGCAGAGCTGGATTTGCTGTTCAGAGAACTAGGGATGAGGACACTCCACCATCCAAAATGCCTTCCTTAAAAATACTTGCTGTCTCCTCTGGCATGATCTTGTCTACAACTCCACAGTAACTCTCAGGCCAGTGGTGTGCAAACTGTAGGTACTTGCAACCAATACCATAGTTAGAAACATCTTTCTGGAGCCAAAGTCAGTCCCTTTGGGCTCTCTTGGGATTGAAGAAGACACCTCAGCAGTTTTTTCTGATCATTTCCCATGCTGTACTTCATGGGTGGGTCTGGAGTGATGGATGGGGTTGGATGTGTTGGTGGGGATCATCACCCCTGTGAACCTATGGACCATCAGGGTCTTACACCCTGGGGTTTAGGGGGTCTTAATCCAAACATTCTCCCTGCTTGGAGGGTAGCTGGTTGGTTGTATGAAATGGTAAATATTTTCAAATATCAGTCAGGAAAAACATTCCAACCTTTGCTTAATCCTCCCTGTAATGGTGCTGGTGTGAGGTCAACTGGTGACAGCTCAGAGCTGTGAGGGACAACCCAGTGCAGAGCTCTGTGGGCACTGGGAGAGCAGCCCACGACTGCTGCAGGTTCTGCCTGGCACTGAGACAATACCTGGGGCATCAAATCCTGATCCTTGGGGTGTCAAACCCCAATACCTGGAGCATCCAGCCCCTCTGCCTCCTTGGGGTCTTCAATCAGAAGAACTTTGGTGCAGCTGTAGCTTGTGGAACCTCCATCCCTCTGGAGAACAGTGAACAAGAAGGGCTACACCTTGCTCTCTGGGGTGCTTTTAACCACATTGTTCTGAGTGATCCTACCATAAGTAAAAAGAAGTCTTGATTTTTAGTTCCAAATCAACCAAGTGCTGTTACTTTTTTTAATTCCAGTGTTCAATAAAAATGGACTTGTTGAACTTTCTGTGTATGAGAACTGTAGGTGTTTGTGATGAGTCAGGTGGGCTCTCTCCTTCCCTTTCTGGTTTTATCCTGACAGTATTAGACCTTTGCCAAAATACAGCTGGGACCAAGTGTTGTCATATTGCCTGAAATTGCATTATTTGAGGTGAAAGTTAAGTACTTAATCCCTATTGGGGTGAGCTGATATCTGAGAGAGAATGAATGACCTGCTCTCTCTTTCTCTGAGGTCATTCAGCTTTAACTTGGGACAGAGGAGATCACATATTGTCATTTTGTTTTAACTTCCCTGTATAAGGAAATCTTTACAAGGAAAACTACTTTTCTTATTTCAGATGCTTAATAGTCAACTTGACCTTTAAGATTTTGCCCTTTGGGTCTATATGAAAGCTCAAGGGAGCAAAAATCAAAAATCCAGCCTCAAATTGCTGAGGCTACTTGGAATTAACCTATGTGCAAAGAGTGTGTTAATCCATTGTCAAGGAGCCTGAAAATCATACTGAGCAGCTCTGTATAATACAGCTTCAGTACAAGAAAGGTTAAAGTTTCCTATTTTGGGGCATAACTCAGTGGTTTCCCTGTTGTAAAAGAGGCTGTTTCTCTCCTTCCCACTGTGTACAGTAGCTGTGCCTTCCCTTAACGAAGTGGCACCACTTCTGTCCATTAAACAGAGCATAAACACACAGATTTTGGTCTGATAAATAATCCCCTCGTGATTCCTTAGGCTGTCTTTGAAGCTGAAGGCTGAGAACTTCCTCAGCAATCACCTTGTTATTCCTAGTGGAACTTCACTAAGCAACTGATCTGGATTTTAACTTGTTTAGCTAATTCTAATCCCTCCCCAAGTATTGAGTTAGCTGATGTCATTCCATTTCCAGGCTCTGGTGGATGGTGAATCGTGCTGCTGGTGGCCTCCTGAGTGCCACCAGCTCCTCGTGGTAGCCACTGCTGCTTCCCAAGGACATGGGAAGCTTCGGAAGTAGTCGGTGCCTACAAGTGTGTCGCACGGTACGTGGGGCGGATGCTGAGCTTTCACGGAATATTCAACAATTTAATCCCTCTTTTAAGGCAAAGAAAACATTTAAAATGTTTCAAGGTCTTTTTTTGGCAGTACATGGGGGCTCTGAATAAAACCTTCACTCACACTAGGGAAGCTGGAGGTCTGCTGCCACTCCAGTTTCTTGCCTCTGGTTATTAAAACATCAAGCTGTCTTACTGCCTCAGCTCAGCTAACTCGCTGCCTCCCTCCCTTTGTGTGGCTCTGAACACCTGCCATTAATACTAATTCGACTCTGGAGAGAAACTCCCTTTCAGATATGCTTGTCTGAAAATAAATTGACATGTAAAAAGGTCTCTTTTGTCGCGAAGTGCATGGAAAGTGCCGGGGTGAGGAGCCCATGGCTTACAAAAGGAGCCACTGACTCTTTCAACGATGTGTGGAGGGGGTGAGAAATGGGAAATGGGGAGTGATGCTGTAACTGGGCTGATGTGATATGGCTGGGGAAGGATCCCACAGCTGTGATCTCTGTTTGGGGTTAGACTTTGAGATTTTGGGTGATTTTTGTCTTTGTCTCACCTATAAGTTTTTCCCTGTGAGGTGCTGAGACACTGGCACAGGTTGCCCAGAGAAGCTGTGGCTGCTCCATCCCTGGGAGTGTTCCAGGCCAGGTTGGATGGGGCTTGGAGCAGCCTGGGCTAGTGGAGGTCCCTATAGAGGGACTCCAAATGACTTTAGTAAGGATGTGCTTCTCCTCATCTCCAAACGACTTTAGTGAGGGTTAAACCTCATCCTGATGGGGTGTCTAGTCTCTGCCTCCAAGCTGAGAAGGCTTTGGGGTCTATGCATTAGTACTTGAGTTATTTCATGAGACAAGAGGAAAAATGCAGGATTATGACAGTCACAAAATAAGAGTGGGGAAAAAAACAGGAGGGGAAAGTGATATTGCTGAGAAATGCCTGTGATACACAAACAAGGAGAGCTGATCAGAGAATTGGAGCAACTTCTCTACAGGCTGAGAGAGTTGGAGCTGTTCAGCCTGGAGAAGAGAAAGTTGTGTGGAGAGCTCAGAGCACCTTCCAGGAGCTGAAGGAGCTCCAGGGAAGCTGCAGAGGGATCTGTGTTAGGAGCTGCAGGGACGGGACAAGGCGTGATGGGAAGAAATTGAAAGAGGGAAATTTAGGTTAGATTTTATACATTTTTTTCCCTGTGAGGGTGGTGAGACACTGGCACAAGTTGCCCAGGGAGGCTGTGGCTGCCCCAACCCTGGCAGTGTTCAAAGCCAGATTGGATGAAGCCTTGAGCAACCTGCTCTGGAGGGAGATGTCTCTGCCCAGGGCAGGGGCTTGGCACTGGATCACCTCTAAATTTCATTCCAACCCCCCAACATCCTATGATACTGTAATACTCTAAGGCCCTGGTTGTGTCAGGGTGAGTGACTGAGCTCTGCAGGGACTTAAGCAGAGAAAACCTTTTTATTGAAAAATTATTGTTATGAATATCAGCAACAAAAACTCAGAGCGTTACTGGCGAGTCCTTCAGTTTAGGTGTATAATGAACTCCAGGGGTTCGTGTTGTTTTTCCTGAGACAAAAGTTTGTATCACTTTCAATTAGGAAGCAGTAAAAGAATCCTTGGTTAGAGTATTTATTCTGTCCTACAGGCAGCAGTGTGAGCCAGCAAAAGGTCAATATTTTTATTTTTAAGAATTATTTGCTTTGAGCTCCTCATACCCTGGGGAAGCCACAGCTCTCTCCTAAGTAAACACTTTAAAGTCAGTTCTT